TTCATAGGAGCTCGATGATTTTGTGTTACTGACTACATCAGTACTATTGGAAGTGGTGACATCAGGCTTGGAAATCCAATATCAATTTTTAAATTAGTTCTTGGTATGCCAGCGTTCTATCTTTGAGGTTATCCATCTTAAAAACAACTGAACAGTTGTTCTTCACAGGGTGAAGAGTCATCAAATGCAGGTCTGTATGACAGGAAGCTTTGAGTGTCAATTTGAAATGGGCTCTGGGTACTTCTCCTGGAGCCTGGGAACAGGTAGAGGTCCTTCCTCATGGCTATTTACCTAGTTGAAGCTTGTGATGGTGCCACATTAGAGTGTTGGTATGTTGTTTTATAGTCCCAAGTGAGTGGGTTACATAGTTGTTGTGCTGTGATTAAGGTGGTAGTTAGTATTATTTTCATCTTTCAGGTGGAGACAGGTCCAGAGAGGTTAGGTAGTTTACCCATGAGTGTATAACACAGCCAATGAGTGGTGAAGTTCAACCTTGAGCCAGGTCATCTGACTCCAGACAATTGTTCTCTGCTGTTAAGCAGTTGTACAAATCTGGGTGAGATTCATCTGACCACTGTTAACTGAGAGTGAGTTTATTGGTAGGAAGATTTCTCTGTGCTAGTGATGGCAATGATTGATATGAATTTGTCAGAGTCACGGTACGATTTCTCTTTTAATTTCAGTTGTCCAATTTACTGAAAGTGATCAAAGTTGTGGTGGCAGAGTCTGTTTTGGGAATCAGTGAGCCTGACTTGAATGCTGGCTTTACTTGGTTATATGGTTTTGGAGGAGTAACTATCTCTGTGCCTTGTTGGTGCTTCCCTGCAAAATAAGGGAATCGTAGTGTTGGTTTGTCAGGTTGTTGAGAGTGCTGTTAACTCACTGGTTCAACATTGGCTTCCCTAACTCAGTCCTGTCTCTTCCTCTTAACATTGGTAAAGTCTTAACTTTCTCTCTCTTTTCTTTGGATGTTGCTCAGCCACAGGTGTATATTATGATCCGGATGGGGTAAATTACTTGTAACATTGTGCCTCAGGGCTCAGTGATTCCTAATCTGGATGACTTCTGTTAGGACCAAAGTGAGCAATCTTACCAATAATGTAGAATTTATTAGAGTCTTGCTTTTTTTTACTCTGGTTTCTTACCTTAGGTGGATTTTGGGAATGGATATCTTTACTGAGAAGAAGCAGTTTTTTCTGCCCTATTTTGAACTTGCTTATAATCTGGATAAAATATAGCTTTGCTGAACCGTAGAATCCTGTAATGTATATCTTCAAGGGAGATTCATTTTTATTTAAATCAGGTTGGTTTTAAAAAGATATGCAAATGTAATAAGAAGTCTAGGTTTTCAATTTTGATTTTTCGACAAGGTAGCTTTGATCATTTGTTCTGGGTTTTAGACTTCTACAGGTATGGCTTTTGGCTTCTTATCAGTTTTGCCCCATGTAGATTCTAAGGAGTTTAATTGTGTTTCCTCTCTGCAGGATTTATCCTACTACTGTTGTCTGGAGTTGAAGGGCAAAGAGGAAGAAATACTAAAGGCACTTTCTCAGATGTGTAGCATAGATACAGGTAATCTTGCCGTCAACCTGAGTCCTGTTTTTAGCCTTTATGTATTTATCCACTTTACAAATAAGGGCCTATTATAAGCATTTTGGAATTAAATGTATATAAATATGTGTATATATACATAAGCATATAAATATACTTATTATGTTTGTTCCCAATAAGTAACGGGGAATAATATCTTATTTAAGGTAATAATTGTATCTTATTCAAGGTAAAATGGGTGGCATTTAAATTTTTTTTAACATTGTAAAGTATAAAAATGACAGACCTATTATTCTGCTGGAATGAACTTAGGCAGGAATATCTCAAAACTCTTGGTAAGTCATCCATTTAGTAAATCCCTTTTTTTTTTTGTGCCAATCCTGGGGCTTGAACATGGGGCCTAGGCATTGTCCCTGAGCTTTTTTTTTTTTTTTTAAACATTATTATTATTTTTTTTTTTTGTCGGTCGTGGGGCTTGAACTCTGGGCCGGGGCGTTGTCCCTCAGCTCTTCAGCTCAAGGCAAGCGCTCTACCACTTGAGCTACAGCGCCACTTTGTCCCTGAGCTTTTGCTCAAGGCTAAAACCACTTGAGCCACAGCTCTACTTACAGCTTTATCCCTCCCCTTCCAGTCCTATATCGTCCTCATCCCCCCTCTAACCCCCTCAGTTAATTGAGATAAGAGTCTCATGTAAGACAGTTGCTGATGATTCATGCCTGTAACCTAGCTACTAGGAGGCTGAGAGCTGAGGATCACCATCTGAAGTCAGCTTGGGCAGAAAAAGTTTGTGAGACTCTTTTTCTTCAATTAACCACAAAAAGCTGGAAGTGGAACTGTGGCTCAAGTGGTAGAGCAGTAGCTTTGAGCAAAAGAGCTCAGGGACAGTGCCGAGGCCAAGTTCCAGCACTGTGATTCTCAAATCTCAGCCGCCTGTGTAGCTAGGCTTACAGGTGTGAGCCACAGGCTCTTAGCCATTTAGTTAATCTTTCTTAAGCACTAATTGTGTGCCAGGCTTTCCTCTAAACTATGATAAAAACCAACACTTCATCCTTCATGGAGACTACAATAAATAGTACTGTGACTGTCAGGAAATAATACTGGGGTCTCAGCATTTGGATCATGTTGTTGTGTTTGTGTCAGGATTGACATTTGCTGCAGTTCACTGCTTGTCTGGAAGGCGCCAAGGGAGCCTCATGCTTTACCGTGCAAATAAATACCCTGGAGGAATGCTCGGGCCTGTTACATTTATTTGGAATTCTGCGAGGGTCCCTGCTGATCTGTGTGAGAGCAGGCAGCTCTGGATCTGGCTTCATCCAACTCTTAAACAGGTATAATCTTTTTGATTCTGTCAAATCCTTAATGACTACTGAAAATCAGTGTCATAGGACTTTCAAGGAGATAAAACTTTGGCTGATAATTGGGTGTTAGAATATAGAGGGGAAAGTTGTGTGTATATTGAACGAAGCAAGTTTAAGAATTTCAATTTTTTAGACTTTTACCTAAAATATCTAATTAACAAAGAAGATATATTCAAGGTATACAATGTGATGATTTGACACAGATGTAGATTATGTAATGATCACTATATCAAATCAATTAACACATGCATTACCTCATACATAATTAGATCTCCAGACCTCTTCCATCTTGTTGAAGGAGGCAAATCTTTTTTTTTTTTTTTGCCAGTTCTGGGGCTTGAACTCAAGGCCTGAGTGCTATCTTTGAGCCTGTTTGTGCTCAAGGCTAGTGCTCTACCACTTGAGCCACAACACCACTTCTGGCTTTTTCTGAGTAGTTTATTGGAGATAAGAATCTCACGGTCTTTCCTACCCATGCCGGCTTCAAACTATGATCCTCAGATCTGAGCCTTGTACATTGCTAGCTATGATTACAGGTGTGAGCCACCAGCACCTGGCTGAAGGAGGCAAATCTTATCTTCTGGTTTTTAAGTCATAAGCAAAAGTAGAACCAAAGCTTATTAAGAATAATGAGCTTGAAATGTTTGGGCTAATGCTTCCACCATGCCCTGATTCATTCACAGATGCCCAGCTACGCGTGATAGTCCATTTTCATAATGAGAAGCTATTTTCAGTAATTCTGGTGATTTTTCCTTCTGTATTTACCTAGCTTCTCTTTTGTAGCATTTGTACTGCTTTTCTATTGCAGACTGTAAATTTTTTTTCCCTATTTTAAACTTTGAAAAAATATTGGTCAGGTTTTTGTAATATTTGACATTTACTTTATTATCTTTTTGTTTCAAGTGTTGTGCTGTATTCGGAAATAAAAAAAACAACAACAAAAAAACTTTGGCAGTTGAACTCAGGACCTTGCACTTAGTTTGCTGATTAGGCACTTTACCCAAGCCTTCAACCCTTTCCCATTACGTTATTTTCAAATAGGGTCTTTCATGGCACCCACCTAGAAAAACTTTGTTATTATGGCAAATTTGGCTTGATTTGTGAATGGATAAAAATGTGAATTTCTAGCCGGGCACCGGTGGCTCACGTCTGTAATCCTAGCTACTCAGGAGGCTGAGATCTGAGGATCGAGGTTCAAAGCCAGCCCAGGCAGGAAAGACCTTGAGACTCCTGTCTCCAATAAACCACTAGAAAACTGGAAGTGGCGCTGTAGCTCAAGTGGTAGAGCGCTCGCCTTGAGCTGAAGAGCTGAGGAACAGTGTCCAGGCCCAGAGTTTAAGCCCCACACCGACCAAAAAAAAAGAAGTGAATTTCTAAAGGAAGCCAGCAAAATTGCAACACTGCATTTAAATTCAGAACTTTAAAGTAAATGTTTAAATATATCCTTAGGATATATTAGAGGAGATAAAAACAGTGTGCCTGTGTTCAGAAGCCATCCAATCAAATATCTGCATCCCTGACCCACTTCTAACACCATCCCTCGAGAAAAGCCAATCTGAACTGGCTGATAAGAAAAGTGGCAAGAAAAGAAAAAGGAAAGATGATGAAGAAAATTTGAAATCAATTAAAAAAATTATTGGTGATGGAACTAGAGATCCCTGCCAACCATGTTCTTGGATCTCTCCAGCCACTGGCATCATAATCAGGTATGAGTTGAATCCACTGTGAACCTACTGAATGTTTTCAATGGAGATTTACTCCATTTTTGCCTGTGACACAGACATATATGAGGGACATTTCCATTTTGTGATCTTTTTTCTCTTTCAGTGATTTGACGATGGAGATGAACAGATTCCGGCTGATTGGTCCCCTTTCTCACTCCATCCTAACTGAGGCTCTCAAAGCTGCTTCTGTACACACTGTAAGACTAAATGGGACTGTCATGTTTTATTTTAGGCATTTTTTTCTTCATCTTATATATAATTTGATAACATGTTGAATCATGGCTTTTAAGTGCTTATATCCCACTTATTACCATTGATTGATTGATTGATTGCCATTTCTGGACCTTGAACTCTGGGGCTGGGCTCTGACCCTGAGCATCTTTGCTTAAATGTGAGTGCTCTACCATTTGGGACGCAGCATCATTTCCAACTTTTTTGAGTAGTTTCCTGCCCAGGTTGGGTTCAAACCATAATCCTCAGATCTCAGTCTCACTGGGGCCCAGCTTATTTTTATCTTTTATTTCTAGAAGACCAAATCTGGGTTGTTTTCTAATTTGCACAACCTGTTGTTGCAGTTGTGTCTTGTACAAGGGTTTTAATCTCTTCCTCATAGGTGGGAAATCAGGTATCCCTAAAATGCCTGAGTTGTATGCTAGCTTTTGAGTGTTTGACTCGTGAGACGTCTATTTCTGTGATTCCCCCCAGAAGGTTAATAGCAGCAGCATGTCTAGCTCTGAACTTGTTATAGAATGTTCTGCAAGTATGATCATCCCATGCCTTCCAGTGTGTTTAGTCACAGCCATATGAAATGTGACTGGAGTGACTGACTGAATTTGTACCTTTATTTAATTTTAACTTAGAATTAAACTCGGGCAGCTCTTTATGGCTTTTGGCTGCTGTGTTGAACTGTGCAGTTGTAAAGCATGCAGACTAGATTCAGAATCCTCCCAGCTGGGTTCAGATCCTGCTCGTTTGACTGCCCTACAGAAGTTAACTTCTCAGTGCTGTGCCTCACAGATTTCATGTGGCTGTATAAGCTAATGGAGCTTTGAACTTTTAGAAGAATGAGGCTTTTAAAAGCAGAAACAAGCTGGGCGCCGGTGACTCACGCCTGTCATCCTAGCTACCCAGGAGGCTGAGATCTGAGGATCACAGTTTAAAGCCTGCCAGGGTAGGAAAACCCATGAGACTCTTATCTCCAACTATCACCAGAAAACAGGAAGTGGCTCTTCCTGTGGTAGAGCACTTGCCTTGAGCTGAAGAGCTCAGGGACAGCGCCCAGGCCGAGTTCAAGCCCCGGGACTGACCAAAACAAAAACAGAAAGGCAGAAACAACTTTTGGCTGCAGGAATTCTCTCCTTTATTCTTTCTCTCCCGTCATCTCCGTGCAGGAGGCAGAGTGATCTTTTAACAAATTTCTCATTTCTTTTTTCTCACACTGGAAATGGAACCTTGGGCCTTGTTCATTCTAGGCAAGCTCTCTACCACTGAGCTATATCCTGAGCCCCGTTTTTCACTTTTTGCTGCTTTCTCAGTGGTTTTATTTATTTATTTATTTTTACTTGTGGCTTTTCTTTTTTTTTTTATTTGTTTATTTTTTATTTGTGAACATACTGTACAGAGGGGTTACAATTACATGGGCAGGATAATGCGTACATTTCTTACCAAGCATTGTAGCCTCCTCCTTTGGTTTACCCTTCACATCCCTTCCCAGCATCCCCCCTCCCCCCCATTCTCAGTGGTTTTAATACCTTCTCATATTTAAGATAAAACATGGCGCCTTCTGTGGACCTGTGTCATCACAGGTTCCCTCACCTCTGCAGTTGCATCTCTCCACATCCCTGCACTGTGGTCTTTCAGGTTCTAGCTGATCTCACTCACTTCTTGCCTCCGCTAGCACTTCTGTACCTGTGTTCTGCCTGTGAACATTCTGTCCCCTCCTCCTGCAGCTAGATTTCTTCATTGTTCAAGTTGCAGTGTGTCTCATTCCATCTCTCTCACCTCCCTCTGCCATCCTTTCTTGGTCTTCAAGTTCAGTTTTGTCATAAGCATTTTCACATTTCCTCAGTTCATGTGTACAGCTTTGTCTGTTTTTATGCCATATCCAGCTCTCACTGACTGAGTGTTTCATGGTGACAAGGGCATGGCTGGTTCCTGGTTCTCTCTGTGCCCAGTGCTCACAGCCGCTGCCGTGGACGAGGTGCTGCGTGGTAGCTAGTAAGCTGTGGAGCCAACATTTGAATCTTTTTGCAAGTTTGGTTCTAGAGCTGCGGTCTGTGAGGTGAACAGCATCTGTCTTCCAAATTTGTAGGAACTCATATCATGTTGTGTATCAGTTTTCCTGCATGGACTCATTACTTAAAATGCTCTTTGAAACATTGCTCTATTTCTAGTATTGTCTACAGATGTAAGTGAGGTGCTATGCATAGTTATATATCCTTTATCCAAAGGTTTCTTTGACAGGTACTGGCTTGATTGTCCTTTGGTAAGGAACGTTTTATTGGTTAAATTAGAGGTGATGAATACGGTGACAGTGGGAGATGATCAAGGCTCTCTTACTGAAATGTGTGTGTGAGAGAGATGAAGTGTGAAGTAGCTTAATTAGTCTCTGAGAACCATGGATATATTTTCTAGTATATGAACTCTTGAAGTAAGTGTAAGTCTGTGTTCCTGTGTCTAATTAGAAGAGTATGTAGTCTGATAGTAATTACTTTATGAATATTGTAGCAACTTGCCTACTACTCATAAAACAATCTTTCTCACATTCAGGAACAAAACGGCTGAGGCTGGTCTTATGTTCCAGACATAATTAAGTCTGATTTATATTTCTCTGCTGAGGGGGAGATGTTGTTTTTCAGGAGGAAGAGGACACAGGGAAGACACCCCACAGCTGGTGGGTAGACACCTGTAAGAACCCTGATAGCGTTTCCCTTCATCGAAGACAAGAAGCTGTGTTTGAATTATTAGGAGGTATAAAGATGGAATGCTGGGGCTGGGAATGTGGCTTAGTGGTAGAGTGCTTGCTTAGCATGTATGAAGCCCTGGGTTTGATTCCTCAGTACCACATAAAGAGAAAAAGCCAGAAGTGGTGCTGTGTGGCTCAAGTGGTAGAGTGCTAGCCTTGAGCCAAAGAAGCTAAGAGACAGTGTTCAAGCCCTGAGTTCAAGCCCAAGACTAGTTAAAAAAAAAAAAAGAAAAAGAAAAAAAAAGATGGAATGCTGGGCTGTACTGGGGAGGAAGGGAAAAATGTTCAAGCAAGTTAAGAGAGGGTTTAGCATTGGGCCTCTGGTAAGTGCTGTTCACTTTCAGTCTTGCTGCTAAGATGTAGCAAGAGAAGTCAGTAAGAGAGTTGCTTGAAGTTAGTGAATAAAGTGTTATATTCCTGCTTTTTAGGAAACAAGACAGCAGTGAGTTAGTATTCTAAAACCCTGGCATTCTCACATTAGACAAATGCATGTCAGATATTGACCTGAAATTAATGCTTAGGACCCATGTTACAGACAATACTTAACAACTCTTGGTAGTTATCACTGACAGAAGTGTGTGTATTAATGTTGTAAAATAGCCTTTTGTATTCAGGTCCTCATGCTTGCTCGGCTTGCTTGCTTGATTGCAGCCAATCAAGCCCAGCTCTTTGCTGGTTATTTCGGAGATTGAATCTTGCAGATTTTTGCCTGGGCTGGCTTCAAACACTGATCGATCCTCAGATTGATCCTCTCAGTAGCTAGGATTATAGGAATGAGCCACCAGTACCCATCTAAAAGGCCTTTGTTATGTCAGTTTTGTATTTTAGGAATGAGCCACCAGTACCCAGCTAAAAGGCCTTTGTTATGTCAGTTTAGTATTTTTTGCAAGAAATTTCACTTCTTGAATAATATAAAATATCAACAAGAAAGAAAGGCAAGTATATTTTGAGGTCCTGAGTTCAAACCTTAGAGAGAGAGAGAGAGACACACACACACACATACACACACACACACACACACACACACACACACACACACAGCTCAAGAAAAGTTTAGTTCAAAATCTAAAAGATTAAAAAAACCCAGCAAACTTGTTTGCATTGTGAATAGCTTTCTATAAGCTTGTTGTCTGCTCACTTGTTGTGTTACAGGGGTAACATCGCCAGCAGAAATTCCTGCAGGTACTATTCTGGGCCTGACGGTGGGGGATCCTCGAATAAACTTGCCTCAAAAGTGGTCCAAAGCTTTGTCCAACCCAGAAAAATGCCAAGGTAAAGTGTTTGTGACTCCCGCGGTTTTTCGTACTGTGCTGAGCACTGCAGACCTCCCTACTACTTCTGTAGTAACTTCATCTGGAAAATCAGGGGAGGGGTCTTAATGTGCCCCTTAATGGGGTGATTGGATCAAAGGGCCTGGTGTGGGGGGGGCATCTTTTAGTTGCAAACCATGTTGCTAGAGCCTTGTTTATTTTGTTTTTTTCTGAGTTCTTTTATTTTTTAGTATGTAGTAGAGCCTGTCTGTCTGCATATTGGGTTCTTGAAAATGCCTGGTGTTTCAGAATTTTAATTGTGAGGAAGGGATATGCACCCGCAGCTGGTCTTGTGCTCAGTGGAAGCCTCTGTCTGACCATACAGATGATCCAGGTTCGAATCCTGGCAAGGCCATCCCAGGTGCTGAAGTATTGAATGTCTTGTTTTTGACTGAGTGGAAAGTCCTGAGAGAGCTGTTTGCTTTGGAGAGATGAGGGGGTAGTGAGACTAGCCAAAATTTTAGTCTGATTTGAGAATTGCAATAATCATGATAATGTCTTATTTTACTTACTATCACTTAAACACATGAATTAGAAGAGTAATTAAAATTAGCTTGTGAATTTTGGAAGGAAAAAAATACAGGTACATGTTACAATTTCAGAACTTTAAAAAACTCTACGTACAGTTAGATAGCTTATTTTGGGGGTACCAAACCCTGTCAGACTTCACATGGAAGGCAGATGGATGAAAGGAGTTTGAAGATGACAGGTAAGTTACTTAATTGTGGAGCTTAAGCCTTTAATCAAGTAGTTGCTGCCTCTTTATTTGCTACTTTAAAGCCAGTGTGATCTAGTGCAGCCATAAATGTTACAGTGTGTACTATGCTATTAAAGGCGGCTGTCACCGCCTTTATGCTATAAACTTTATGCTATAATCACCTTAATGCTATAAACTCGCCTCACTTCTCTTGTTATTGCACATCCTTTTTAAAAAAAGAGGAAATTCCATATTGAATCCTTTTTAAGTCTTATGTTCATCTGAGTCAGTTCAAGAAAAATATGTCTTTCTTGAAACACATGATTTAATTTCCACTCTAAAAGTTTACCCTCTTTTTAGTCATTGTATTTTTCATTAAAATGTATTTTACAATGGACACTGGTGGCTCATGCTTGTAATCTTAGCTACTCAGGAGACTGAGATCTGAGGATCATGGTTCAAAGCCAGCCAGGGCAGGAAAGTCTGTGAGAATATTATCTCCAGTTAACCACCAGAAAACCAGAAGTGAAACTGTGCTTCAAAGTGGTAAGAATAGCTGGGAGCCGGTGGCTCATGCTTATAATCCTAGCTACTCAGGAGGCTGAGATCTGAGGATCTCGGTTCAAAGCCAGCCTGGGCAGGAACATCCATGAGACTCTTACCTCCAATAAACCACTAGAAAACTGGAAGTGGTGCTGTGGCTCAAGCAGTAGGGTGCTCGCCTTGAGCTGAAGAGCGCAGGGACAGCACCCAGGCCCAGAGTTCAAGCCCCACAACCGACAAAAAATAACAAAAAAACAAAGTGGTAAGAGTGCTAACCTTCAACAAAAGAGCTCAGGGACAGCAACTAGGCACCCAGCTCCAAGGCCCATGACTGACCAAAAAAAAAAAACAAAATAAAACTATATACATACATACATACATACATACATACATATATACATATATATATATATATATGTATAGTGCTGTAATTTCTTTACATTATGTTTTATTTGGTATAGGAGCAACATAAAGAAGTAAACTTTTTAAGGAATTATTAAATTAATAATATAAAATTAATATATCATTTAGGAAGAAGTCAAAATGCAAGGAAAAAGTCTAGTTTGGTAGACTATGTTAATTAAGTGGTTAATCTTTGGGAAAATTTCAATGTCAGGATATGTATAATTTTCTGATATAGTTTCTGTGTGTCCATATCTGACATCATTCTCTGCTTATTTTGACTTCTAACAAAACAAATCAGTTCTGGTGCTACTTAAAACATAAAGAAGTGTTTGTCTGCTTTGGTGCACATTCTTTTTCTGTATGTATATATGTATTTGTGTGTGTGTGTACTGGGGATTTTATATATATATGAACATATGTCTATATGTATATACATATATAGACACATATACATATATACACATATATATGTATGTACACACACATATTTATTTGAAAGTGAAAGAAAAGAAAAGAACAGCTGTGATAGAAAGTAGCAGAAACCCTGTTGCTGGAGAGAGGAGACTAAAATGTAGTTCTAGATTGCAAGGATTTTAAAAAAGAAGATAGGGGCTGGGAAGGTGGCTCAGTGGTAGAGCGCTTGCCTTGCATGCATGAGGCCCTGGGTTCAATTCCTCAACACCACATAAGCAAAAAGAAAAAAGCCAGAAGTGGCACTGTGGCTCAAGTGGTAGGAACACTAGCCTTGAGCTGAAAGCTGAGGGACAGCACCCAGGCCCAGAGTTCAGGCCCCATGACTGGACCCAAAATAAATAAATAAATAAAAGAGAAGATAGCTGAAGAACTTGAAGCGATAATGTATTCTGGGGTGCTTTGAAAAAGTTTACTCAATCATTTAGTGCTTAAGTTGGAATTAATTATTCATAATGTATTTGCAAATCTTTTCACTATGTAACTAACTGGTTTTCTGAGTAAGATTTAAAAATTCGAGTTGGGTTGTGGGCATAACTTGGTGCTAGTGTGATTGCCCAGAACGCATGGGCCCTGAGGTTGAGTCCCAGCATTGCAAAAACAAAACAAGCCAAAAAAATCTCCAAACTAAATATGTACTGTACTCTCTGATGCTTTACTTGCTGCCCTTAACACTTGCTGGTTTGTTTTGATTTGAATATTTCTTTCTTTCTTTTTTTTTTTTTTGGTCAGTCATGGGGCCTGAACTCTGGGCCTGGGCACTGTCCCTCAGCTTTTCAGCTCAAGGCTAGCGCTCTGCCACTTGAGCCACAGCGCCACTTCTGGCTTTTTCTGCTTACATGGTACTGAGGAATCGAACCCAGGGCCTCATGCATGCAAGGCAAGCCACTATACCACTGAGCCACCTTCCCAGCCTATGGTTATTTCAATTAGTCCTTGTCGGCCCGAGAGGAATTTGCTGTACTATTGAACATGAGGGCCAACAGGGTAACACAATGGAAATATACATCTTAGCATATATGAGGGCCTGAGTTCAATCCCTAGCATCAGAAGAAAAGCAAGGGGAAGGAGGAGTTATATGGAGGGAGAGAAAAGGTGAGAGGAGAGAAAAAGAAAATACTGAACTTATAATACTCTATTGGCTTATTTACTTTCATCTTTGTCTTTTAAATACTCTGGCTATATGACTTTTGCATGCTCCCTAAGCATGAAGACCCCAGTTACTGTTAGAAGGCTGGGTGAGAGATCATTTCCACCCTTTTCCAGTTCTTACAGGTATTTTAGAGTGTAGAGCTACAGTTGCCTTTCAGTAATGGTCATTTTGTCATAACTCCTTTGTTTCTGCTTTTGGGTAGGAAAAAAAAAAAAAACCTATGCTAGAGTTATCTGGTCTGCATATTTATAAAATAGAATGACTTTGAAAAGTACATCTTTCTCCCCTGCCAAATCTCTGCAACCGCTGATCTTTTCACTGTCTTTATATTTTGCCTTTCCCAGAATGTCATGTTGGAATCATATAGTACACAGCCTTTTCATTTTGGCTTCTTTTTCTTATTAATATGCATTTAAGGTTCTTCTGTGTCTTTTCACGCATTGATAGCTCATTTTTTCTTAGCACTCTGTAGCAATAGTTAGTATTCTATCATTTAGAATATTTGAAGAGGAAGTGGCGCTGTGGCTCAAGCAGTAGAGCGCTCGCCTTGAGCTGAAGAGCGCAGGGACAGTGCCCAAGCCCAGAGTTCAAGCCCTACAACCGACCAAAAAAAAAAAAATATTTGAAGTTGAGTTAGTGCTTCTTTTTTTTTTTCTTTTTCTTTTTCCTGTGCCTTTATACCCTCAATACGAGTCATCTCTTGTCTGCATTTCAGGCTGAACAATACCTCATTTCTGTCCCTCTAGTCTGTGGCAGGGCTCCACAGGAAAGCATTCTTTTAGAACAGGATTGTTAGGAATGGAGCTTAATTTTCCTAGACAGGCAGAACTTTTGAAACATATAGCTTTGATACTGGAGACCCTATGGGTTAGAGTCTCTTTGAAGAAGAGCAATATAGGGCTGGGAATATAGGGCTGGGATGTAGCTCAGTGGCAAAGTGCTTGCCTAGCAAGTGCAACGTCCTGGGTTCGATCCCCAGTACCAAAAAAAGAAAAAAAGAAAAAAAAAGACGAAAACAAGAAGAAGAGCAATATAAAAAAGACGAAAACAAGAAGAAGAGCAATATACTGAAGCATTTGCTGTTTATGAGCCACTTTTTTCTCAGATCTGTTCACCAATTTAATTTTCTCCACCTTTGTTCTTACCGAATTTTGTTACACTGTGGCCTGGTCACTTCCAACTTATTACTATTTTTCCAGCCATCAGATCTATCCAGGTATGTGCTTTTAGTGACATTTCTGTGTTGGCATTGTAGAATTATAGCCAAAATTTATGAATTGTACTTTTTAAAATTCTTTAACAAAATTAGATTTTGAAGATTTTTTTCCCCCTAGTGATTAAATGAGTGCACTAGGAAATGTTTTACATTAATATTTAAATATAGATGTTTTTCACTGAAAATGGTCTTTCCCCTTCTCCAGTGGCATACTTTTAGTATGGTGTAGGTTTCACAGAGAATCATCACAAAGGAATGAAGACGTATGTTTACAGCAAGGAATAACAATTTCACTAAAAATAGGTCATCAGAAATTAGTTAAGGGGAAAGAAGAAGATGATTATGTTAAAAAGTAGAATTAGGCAGTTGTTTAGAGCAACTTAATATTGTGATATTTACATCTTAGACATGAAAAGTAACTATCAAAGGGAATTTATTTTTAGCAGCCTGTGCTATTCCATGGACTATGAGAGGAACTAAGAGTAATCTAATCAAGTAAATCCTTCTATATAATATATATATAAAATATAGTTTTTTGTCATGAAAAATCTACTGTAGCCAAGGAAAGGGCTACAATTGATGAAAGGCTGTGATTTGAAGGCTGTTTTTTTCCCTCTTAGATAATGAGAAGGTGAGACAGCTGTTTCTGGAGGGTGTGCCTGTGGAATGTGCCCATAGCTTTATCTGGAATCAGGACATCTGTAAGAGTGCCACAGAGAATAAAATCTCCGACCAGGTAACTGCTTACTGCTAAAATCATGAATGCCAGGTGAAAGTCATCATTCCAGAGATGCTAAAAGTGATTTTATACTTTATAAAGTGCCATGGACTTGATTTACAAGCAGCTTACTGATTCTGTAATCCATACTGTAGTTTTGTTTTGCTTTTGGGAAGAGAGATTTCTAGAAAAAATATAAAGTGATAAACTCATGACTGAAATGTTTTTCTTCCTAATATTTTCCATAAGTAGTCTTTTGTTTTATTCTGTTTTTTTATTTAAATGCTGGTTCTGGGGCTTAAACTCAGGACCTGGGCACTGTCCCTGAGCTATTTTGCTCAAGGCTAGTGCTCTACCACTTGAGCCGCAGCTCCACTTCTGTTTTTCTAGTGGTTAATTGGAGATTAGAGTCTCACAGACTTTCCTGCTGGGGCTAGTTTGAATCATGATTCTCAGATCATGGCCTCCTGATTAGCTAGGCCACCAGTGCCCTGCCTGTTCTGTTTTTAATTTAAATTTCACAATGATTAGCTCCCTGGCATGACCCTGGCATTGTACTCGATGCTGGGATAGAAGAGTAGGATATGGCTAAGTACAAGGTCCTCAGGAAGCCTAAGGAAGGAAGACTGAGCCCAAACTTAAGAGACTAAGGGTGACTTCCTAGATGGAGGAGCTGGTATTTGAAATTGCTCTCGAATGAGAGTCAGGACTTTTAATTTAAAAGCCACTTTTATAAAAAAAAAAGCAACTTCTACACTTTTTTGTTTTTTTAAAATGTTAATATTGACTATAACCATATGCCTGTCATAGCTGGGCTGACAAATGCATGCCACAATGCCCAGCTATTTTTGTTGTTGTTGAGATGAAAGTCTTAGCTTAGTTCTGGCTGGCCTTGAACCAGATCCTTCTGTGTACCTGGGATTACATTTTGAATCACTATCCTTGTTCACACACATACAAAAATTAATTAAAAATAGACTTTGGGACAGGGAGAAAGTACAGTATCATTTTATAACTTTGAATCTGTTATATTCTAGCCCAAATTTAGCAAGTTGAAGATAATTGGACGTTTTCTATCGAAATTCTTACGTAGAGAAGTTTGTTGTTGTTTTTTTTTTTTAAATTTACAGAAGGAGTACTCTGTACTTAAAATGGCTCACATTTATTCAGAACCCTTTTTTTTTTTTGGCAGTGCTGAGTTCGAACTCAGGGCCTTGTGCCTACTTGGCACGTACTTTGCCTCCTGAGCTTATACTCGCAGCCTAAGAATATTTAGCTTTTTAAAACTAAAGAGAGGAGAGAGACCCAGTAGGATCTCCTGGTACTGGATTGCTTGTCTTGAATTATTTTCTTCCACTTTAGGATTTAAACCGGATGAGAAGTGAGTTGCTGGTACCTGGGTCACAGCTTGTTTTAGGTCCCCATGAATCCAAGATCCCTATACTTTTGATTCATCAGCCAGGAAAAGTGACGGGTGAAGACCGGCTGGGCTGGGGAAGTGGCTGGGACATCCTGCTTCCGAAGGGCTGGGGCATGGCTTTCTGGATTCCATTCGTAAGTTCCTTTTTTGATTCCAACTAAGAGTTGTTATGTTAAAACACTTTTTTGTTTGTTTGTTTCTTTGCCAGTCCTGGGACTTGAACTCAGGGCCTGGGCACTGTCCCTGAGCTCCTTTTGCTCAAGGAAAGTACTCTACCACTTGAGCCACAGTGCCACTTCTGGATTTTTCTGTTTATGTGGTACTGAGGAAATAAGCTGAGGGCTTCATGTGTGCTAGGCAAGCGCTCTATCACTAAAGCCACATTTCCAGCCTAAAAACACATTCTTGATAGAAACTAAGTGCTAAGAGTGATTCAGACTTTATGTACAATTTTTAAATTGAATAATATTATTTCTGCCCTTAGAAGTAGAATTCTGGATACAGGATACTCCATACTTGTTGTCCCTAGAGCCAGATTCTCATTAATAAGGCCTATGCTGAGATATTTTGAAAATTTGAGAGTTTTTCCCCTAGGCATTTTATTTTAGTTGTATTGTTATAATTATTAACACAACAGTGGTACAAATCGACTGCGTTATGTGCTTCTATACCTACATCATATACTCATCATGCCCACCCACCCCTGTACACTTGCCCACCTTTCCTTTTAGATTCTGGTTTGGAAGTTTTAGAGGTTTCGAAGTGATTTTGTAATAGTAGCAACAAAACATTCAATTTTCAACCTTAAGAAATTGTTATAGTTTTTCTTCTTTTGTATCAGTCCTGGGACTTGAACTGGGGGATTGAGTGTTCTCCCTGAGGTTTTGTGCTGAAGGCTAGCACTCTACCACCTGAACCGCAGCTTCACTTCTGGCTTTTTGGTGGTTAATTAGAGATAAGAGTCTCACAGACTTTTCCTGCCTGGGCTGGCTTCGAACCACAATCCCCAGATCTCAGCCTCCTGACAAGAGTACAGGCATGGGCTACCGGCACCCAGTAAGAAATTTGTTATACTTTTAAAGCAGCCTTTATAGATGTATAGAATTTACTTTTCTGGCTTTAAAATGTTAATATTAACTATAATCATATAGTACTAAAAATGGCACTTAAAATTTTTTATTAAAATCTTACACATATTTTTCTGGTTAGTTTAAATATTACTTTAATGCTAGATATCATAAACAGCATTTTAGGCTATTAGATTCATGCAGGTGATATCTTTGTAGCAATTATGCCTAATGTGAGGGACATTCAGTTAATCATTTAGAAGTGGGAAGATTTTAATTTTTTTTTTTTAGGGTCCGGTCGTGGGGCCTGAACTCTGGGCCTGGGCGCTGTCCCTCAGCTCCTCAGCTCAAGGCTAGCGCTCTACCACTTGAGCCATAGCGCCACTTCCGGCTTTTTTCTTTTTTGCTTATATGGTGCTGAGGAATCGAACCCAGGGCCTCATGCATGCAAGACAAGTGCTCTACCACTGAGCCACCTTCCCAGCCCTAATTTTTTTTTATTATACTATGTTTCAAGCAGATGATAGTGATAAAATGAATGCCTGTGTGCCCTTCAGCTTAAGAGAGATTGGGTTCACTGGTAGTGTTCTAGTGCCTCTTCCCAGTCCTATCTTCCTCCTTTCTAAAAGTGCATATTTTATAACTGTATTAAATATTCATACTCCACAGTACATTGGGCATGGGACAGCTTTTTTTTTGTGTGTGTGTGTGTATGTGTGTGTCCTGGAGTTTGAACTCAGGGCCTGGTTCCATCCCTGAGCTTTTATGCTCAGGATTATACTCTACCACTTAAGCCACAACTCTACTTCTAACTTTTTGATGGTTAATTGGAGATTAGAATCTCATGGATTTTCTTGCCCAGACTGGTTTCAAACCATGATCCTCAGATCATGGCCTTCTGAGTAGCTAGGATTACAGGTATGAGCCATTGGCACCCAGCTGGACATCTTTTTAAGCTATATAGCAAACTGTATGCATGCTTTTGCAACTTGGTGTGTTCACTTGGTAAACTCTTGATTGTTGAAAATCCATTTCATTCACGTTTATATTGTATGGTAATTACATATATTCATATATATATATATATATGTGTGTGTGTGTGTATATAACAGCACATATACACACATAGATATTATAATGTATACAATAGTCCTACTGTTCCTCTGTATTTATCCATTCTCTTTTGATGAGCAATTGGAATGTTTCCTATTTTTCTCATAGAGACAGTTAAGCAGTGTCACTTATAAGTTGGTAAATGACAGTTAAGTTAGGAAATTTGGACATTTCTTTCAGATCTATCGAGGTGCCAGAGTTGGAGGGCTGAAAGAGGCCATGGTGCATTCACAGTATAAAAGTTTGCCTAACATCCCAGGAGATTTTCCAGACTGCCCTGCTGGCGTTCTGCATGCTGAAGAGCAAGCTAAGAGTTTTCTTGAAAAGTACAAAAGGTGAGAAATTGCTTTCTCTGCCTGGCATCTTAGGGGGTAGAAGAGGTGCTAGTTCATGTAGACTGGCAGTGTGGGGATGGCTTGGGGGACTGAGTGTATAATGTGGAGCTTTTGTGGGCTTTCCCTTCAGTTCTGCATTACCAAGAAGTTCCTAAGAACATGTTACCCGGACAGGAGATATTTGGCTTGTTTAGGCAGGCCAGGTTATAGCATTTTCTCTTGGCTATTTGCTGACTTTGATAGTGGACCGAAAACTGAAAAGTGGACATGCATTTCAGAAACCTAGATGTTCACTACTAACCCCTTCCCTATCTCATGGGGAACTTCTTATCTAAGTAGTACATACTTATAAAATGTAGACTGGCCGCTGTTAGTTCATGTCTGTAATCCCAGCTACTCAGGAGGCTGAGATCTTGAGGATCACAGTTTGAAGCCAATCTGATCAGGAAAGTTTGTGAGACTCTTACCTCCAATTAACAACAAAAAGCTGGAAATGGAGCTGTAGCTCAAGTGGTAGAGCAGTAGCCTTGAGCACAAAAGCTCAGGGACAGGACCAGGTTCAGAGTTCAAGCCCCAGGAGTGACCAAAAAGCCAAAAAAGTAATGAAACTCTGGTAATAGGTAAAGTACGTTCTATACTGGTATAATCCTGCCATCTGCGAGATAAGCACTGTGTTTGTATTTTAGCATCTATTCATCCAGACATTTTTCTTCTTGTCTTTCATTGGAGAGGAAAGGGTGAGGGCCCTTCCCTCCTTTCTATGTGAATGTTAAGAACTTCCCTTACATTGCTGGCTCCTAGAAGCACAGACACTGTTCTCTATTGTGGCATCTACAGTGTCCAGCCAGTGCTATGTGCAGTAGGCCTTGATAACTTTCATTGCTTTCTGATGAACCAGAGAATAATCGAATGTTGTAGTTCCTTAACTGTGGGCTCTACAAAGGCTGAATTGTGTCTTTTTGTTGGCTGCTGAAACCAGACAGGCACAATGTCTGGCTTCACAACCATTAGCTGAATGATAGACAGATACTCGATGGAGTGGATACATGGTGATGCATTCCTGATTGTCACCTTGCTAGCTTTTTTTTTTTTCCCCCTTGATACAGGGTCTTGCTATATATGGCCCCAAACTCTTGATCCTTTGCCTCAGCCACCTCAATGCTGGTATTACAGATATGCATTACCACATCTGGCTTTTATGAGCTCTTTGGAGGACAGCAGTCTTTTTTTTTTTTTAGGTCCGGTCGTGGGGCCTGAACTCTGGGCCTGGGCACTGTCCCTCAGCTCTTTAGCTCAAGGCAAGCGCTCTACCACTTGAGCCACAGTGCAACCTCTGGCCTTTTTGCTTATGTGGTGCTGAGGAATCGAACCCAGGACCTCATGTATGGGAGGCAAGCACTCTACCACTGAGCCACCTTCCCAGCCCCAGGACAGCAGTCCTTTACTGTATGTTCATATTGACAGTCAAGGTCCTTTTATGTTTGCTGAGTAACTGATGATAGTACTTATTTCTTACTGGGTTTTTGTGTTTTTCTTTTTCTTTCTTTCTTTTTTGTTTTAAACTCAGGGCCTAGGTGCTGTCCTTGAGGTGTTTTTTTTTTCCTTAAGGCAAAAAAGAGAGTGTTTTACCTCTTGAGCCATGACTCCACTTGAGGCTTTTTAGTGGTTAATTGTTGATAAAGAGTCTCATGAACTTTCCTACTGGTCTGGCTCCAAACCATGATTCTCAGATCTCAGCCTCCTGAGTAGCTAGGATTATAGGTGTGAGCCACCACTGCCCAGCTATTTAGACTTTATAATGTACGTATAGTTGTCATAGTTACAAGGTTTTTTTTTTTTTTTGGGTCCAGTCGTGGGGCCTGAACTCTGGGCCTGGGCGCTGTCCTTCAGCTCTTCAGCTTAAGGCTAGTGCTCTACCACTTGAGCTACAGCGCCACTTCCGGCTTTTTTCTTTTTGCATATGTGGTGCTGAGGAATCGAACCCAGGGCCTCATGCATGCAAGGCAAGCGCTCTACCACTGAGCCACCTTCCCAGCCCCACAAGTTTTTTTTTTAAATAAACTAATTTGAAACGTTCCCCTTTCATTTAACAGTGCATTGAGGCTAATTTCCCACATCAATAAATAGGACTCAAAACTGCATGTTAGCACCCTTCTTTGGTCCAGAGCCAAATGCTAAACGGTTCAGGTTTTGTGGACCATTGTTTCTGTGACAACTCAGCTCTGCCACTGTGGCATGAGGCAGTCACTGATGTCCTAGAAATAAGTGAAGGTGGCTGTCTTCTAATTGTAGTATTTATGGATACTTAAATTTGCATTTCATGAAATTTTCATGTGTCATGAAATATTATTCTTATGTTTTTTTCAACCATTTAAAAATACAAAAATCATTCTTAGCTTTACAAGTTGTACTGAAATAGAACACAGGCAAGATTTGTCCTGTGAGTCATAGCTTGCCAGCTCCCAAATAGAACGCTGAGTGATTCTTTGGGATTTGTAGGGTGGAATTTTATCAATGGCCCTGTGGGTTTTTTCCGATTTCTTGCTGTGTGCTGCTCTGAACATCTCCTTATAAATATCTCTGAATGCTTGTCTGACTTGTTCATCCCTTTGTCATATATTTTACTTAGAAACGATTCTAACCTCTGGGGCTACAGCAGGGACAAGATGGACTGAGTCTCTATTCTTGGTGGAGTCATGTTTCCAGGCTGGTATGGGGCTCTAGGATCAAGTAGGGAGGCTGAAATTCAAGAGCAAAGGCCTTAAGCAGGGAAGAGAGACTGAGGTCCAGTGTCCAGGTGCAGGGGTGGTATCTGATACACCTGGGGTCAGTTCTTCCATTTTAATAGGCTGGGAGAGACCCCTGAAGTGTGATACAAATGTAGGCAGATGTTTGATGAGAAGATGGGGAGCACTCTTGATTGTATCTTCTTAGTCAACAAAGTGGTGAGGTTACAAGCTGTTTGTAAGAAGGGGAAAGGAGTTGGCAGGGTTTTTGGTTTTTTTGTTATTGCTTTTTCCTTTTTGGTTATTGTTTTCTTTTTGTTTTTGTAGTACTGGAATTTGAATTCAGCTTTGCACTTGCTATGCATGTACTTTACCACTTGAGCCACATCTCATTCTCTTGTGCTTTTTTTTTTTGCTGTTGTTATTTGAATAAGGTCTCACTTTTTTGCCCAAGCCAGACTGGACTTTGATCCTTCCATTTATGCTTCTTACTTTGCTAGGATGACAGGTGTGCACCACTGTGCCAAATTTTTTATTGGTTGAGATGAAGTCTTTTGCCCAGGTTAACCTTGATCTTCAAGCCTCCCAAGTATCTGGGATTATAGGTGTCAGCCACTATATCTGGGTTGTCAGATTTGAGGAGAGACAAATTGTAAATATTTTGAACTTCAGGTCTTGCTAGGCAGAAGCACTACCACTTGAGCCACATCTATAGTCCAAAAGCTTTTCCTGTTTTTTGGAGAGTTTTGCTGTTTGCCTGGGCCCAGCCTGGACTGTGATCCTCTTTTTTCTGTTTTCAGCTTCTCCAATTTATATTTTCTGAGTAGCTGGGATGACAAGTCCATGCCACCTTGCACAGTTACTGACCGAAGTGGGGTGGGGCATCTCACTACCTTTTTGCACAAGTTGGCTTTAAACCATGATCTTCTCAATCTCTGCCTTCTGAGTAGCTGGGATTATAGGCACGAGCCACTGCACCCAGCTCATATATCTGGTTTTAAGAAAAGGTCTGCTGGGCATTGGTGTCTCATGCCTGTAATCCTAGCTACTCAGGAGGCTGAGCTCTGAAGATTATGGTTCAAAGCCAGGCTGAGCAGGAAAGTCTGTAAGACTCTTATCTCCAATAAACCAGCAGAAAACTGGAAATGGTGCTAAGGTTTAAGTGGCAGAGCGCTAGCCTTGAGCTGAAAAGCACAGGGACAGTGCCCAGGCCCGGAGTTCAAGCCCCATGACCAACAAAAAGAAAAAAAAGAGAGAAGGTTGTGTATTTGAAGGCTCTTGCTGTTTAGTTGCTGTGTACTGCATTTCGGATTCAGTACTTAGGATACTATGTCTCCCTTGCTCTTACCACTCTGGGCCCTTTTAATATAGATCAGATGGTAGGTGAAAAATGGTATCTTATTGGTTTAAATATGTTCTGTTAGCTAGTAGATTTTATTTATTTCTATTTGTACCTTTCTGCTGCTTATTGTTTGGATATGTATCTGACCCTTTATTTTTGTTTCTTTTTTGCACGTGTATTGGAGTTGGAGTTGGAGACAGGCTTTCTATATACTATGGAGTGTTCTGCCACTGAGATATATTCCCAGTCCTGCTTTGTTGAATTGTTTTTTGTACTGGAAGTTGAACTTAGGTCCTCATGCTCTTGCTTGGCTTTTTCTCTCAAGACTGGCACTCCCTCACTTGAGCCACAGCTCCACTTCCAGTTTTTTGTTTGTTGCTAAATGGAGACAAGAATCTTAAGGACTTTTCTGCTGTAGATGGCTTCAAACCTTGATTCTCAGATCTCAGCTTCCTGAGTAGTTAGGAGTACAGGCATGATGCCTAGCCACTGTATTGTTTTATTTTGTCAGTCATGGGGCTTGTACTCGGCCTGGGTGTTGTCCCTGAGCTTTTTCACTCAAGGTGACAGCTCTACCACTTTGCGCCACAGCTCTGCTTCCAGTTTTCTCGTGGTTAATTGGAGATAAGAGTTCCATAGACTTTCCTGCCTGGGCTGGCTCTGAACCCCAATGTTCGGATCTCAGCCTAGTAACTAGGATTGTAAGTATGAGCCACCAACACCTGGATGCTTTATTGGTATTTTTTTTTAAGACCAAAGAAAACAAGCTTGGATATGGAGGTAACTATTGTTTTTTATTAAGCATTTCTTGGAAAGTTTTTTCTGTGTTTATTGCTTAAACATGTATAAGTGGCCATAATTATTTTAATTGTCCATTCTTCAGTTCAAAATGCATTCTCTTCTTTGTTTTTTTATCAGACGCCCTCCTGCCAAACGTGCCAACTATGTTAAGCTTGGCACACTGGCACCTTTCCAGTGTCCCTGGGAACAGTTGACTCAGGACTGGGAGTCCAAAGTCCAGGCCCGAGACACATCTCCTGGAGCTCTCAGTAGAGAGGCGGGTGATGCAAGAAGACTCGGGGAGCCTCACGCTGCCACGCCTGAGCAAGCTCCGCAGCTCTCAGATGAAGCAGGCTCATCCACACGTGACCACAGGGAGCCAGAGACCATGGACACTGAGTGTCAGGACCAGGGAGTGGGGGAAAAGGTTCCAGACCAGAGTCCTGGCGAGAACCACACCGCTGCCATCAATAGTCAACTCTGTGTGCTTAGGTAAGTGTAGGCAACTTCTGGATACATTTTGCCTTGACCAGCTCACAGGATATGAAAATTTTATTTATAATAATAACAATAATCAAATGATACAAAGTTATTACTATTATTGTTGTTGTTATTATTGCAGTGCTGGAGATTAACCCAGCACCATATTCATGCTCAGCGCTCAGCAAGCACTCTTATCACTGAATTACACTCCACATCCTGCCTTCAACTTTTTTTCTTTTTTAGTCATGGGCCTTGAACTCAGGACCTGGGTGCTACCCCTGACCTTTTTTGCTCAGGGCTCTCACGCTCCCACTTTGAGCCATAGAAGCACTTCTGATTTTAGGTGGTTAACTGGAAATAAGAATCTCACAGACTTTCCTGCCTGGACTTCAAACTTTAATTCTTAGATCTCAGCCTCCTGAGTAGCTAGGATTGGCGTGAACTAACAGTGCTCAGCTGCCTTCAACTTCTTAAACTTTAATCTTTTAGTTTCAGTATTGCAGACACCTAAGAAGGCAAATATTCTTACTAAAATATATGAAGGAATCTTTTTAGTTTTTTAAAAATTATAGTTTTGATACTTGCCCACATGTAGTATGAAAAAATTAGTTGTAGCAATGCCTTATCTTTTTTTTTTTTTTTTGTCGGACCTGGGGCTTGAACTCTGGGCCTGGGCACTGCTTCTGGGGGTTTCTTTTTGCTTGAGGCTAGCATTCTACCACTTGAGCTATAGCACCACTTCTGGCTTTTTTCTGTTTGTGTGGCTGAGGAATCGAACCCAGAGCTCCATGCATGCTAGGCAAGCACTTAACCGCTAAGCCACATTCCACACCCCACCTTATCTTCTAATTGTACATTTCTTCCTTGAATAAACTATCCTAAAATGTATGTCTCTGGCTTTACATAGGAGTAGAAAATTACTGAAGCAACTGTCAGCCTGGTGTGGGCCCAGCTCTGCGAACAGCCGGGCAGCCCAGTGGGCTCCTGGCAGAAGCCAGCGAGAACTGAGCAGAGAGGCTTGCCTGTCTGTCCTGGACCTCTTCCCCAGGGCCCTGGTATGGGTCCACCTGTCCCTCCTCCAGAAAGGCAGCCCAGAGCCACACACCATGATCTGTGTCCCAGCCGAGGAAGACTTGCTTCAGCTCAGGCAGGATCGCCACTACTGTGGGCCCCAGGAGCCCAGACACAACGATCCATTCAAGAGGAAGATTGTAAAGCAAAAGGAGAAGAAGAAAATAGTGAGGAGGCAGGACGGAGGACTCGCTCCTGCCGACGTTGTGGAGGCCCCTGTGCAGGAGGAGGCTCTGACGTTGGGCTTGTGGTCAGGCCCCCTCCCAGGTGTGATTTCACACTGTTCCAGGGTTCTCCTTGGCTTCGTCACTCAGGGAGATTTTTCCATGGCTGTTGGCCATGGAGAAGCCCTGGGCTTTGTGAGCGTGACAGGCTTGCTAGATACGCTGTGCAGCCAGCCACCAGCCACAAGGGGCCTGGTGCTGCTCAGGCCGCCTGGCTCTCTGCAGTACCGATTTGCAAGAATTACCATCGAGGTGTGACTGGTTCACTGCTTGTGAACACTGATCAGTCGATCGATGGATGGATAGTAGCTCTGTTTGCCAAGTCACAGTGGGAGAGTCTGCCTTCCCTTCAATTTCAAAATATCATGTGTCGTTCCTTAGAAATAAGAATAAAAAAGCACACTTTATGCAAACAATGAAATGTTTATACTGTTTCAATCATCTCATTTGTTTCCATCTTTCCTTGGCCTTGTTGTAGCGCTGTAAAATTGTTTGGCAGGTATAGCCAGATGCTTTTATGATCTCTTGGTTTTGCTGAACAGTATCAGAGACTCTATCACTTATTGTCCCTCCCCCTTTTTCTGTTTAGTTAGGAATAAAGAGCTGTGGGGGCTCTTTGAAAAGCCTTATACTTGTGATAAATTGCAGTAGCTGTTTAATGACTTGATTGTTACTGAAGAGGAAATGGAACTAGTTAGGTCCTTTATGGGTCACGCTTAATTTTTGTGTACAGAAATCAGCAAATGAGGGGGCTGGGAAGGTGGCTCAGTGGTAGAGCGCTTGCCTTGCAATGGAGGCCCTGGGTTCGATTCCCCAGCACCACATAAGCAAAAAAGAAAAAAGCCGGAAGTGGCGCTGTGGCTCAAGTGGTAGAGTGCTAGCCTTGAGCTGAAGAGCTGAGGGACAGCACCCAGGCCCAGAGTTCAGGCCCCACAACCGGACCCCCCCCCCAAAAAAAAAAAAAAAGAAATCAGCAAATGAACATCCGTATGCCTTAAGGAAAGAAGATTCTCATTTCCAGGCAGTTCAGTGTATCACAAAAGTGTTGGGCCAGAATTAAAATGAGGCTTTGTGATATTATGCCCCTTTGACTTTTTTGTTGCCCAGAGTGTAATCCTAGTAATTACTTAAATTCTTTTATATAAAAACTTTTAGCTTTTGTTTCTGCCAAGAATAGCTGAAAGCCATAAAGGAGCATTTCTGCAAAGATGTTCTGTGAAATGTATTGCCTAGGAAAAGCCTTTCTAGGTCAGGTTGATTTGAGATCCCCTGGCTTAATAAGCAGAGTTAAGCGTTTATGAAAGGACTTCTGGAAGCTTTCATGTGATAATGTGCATGGTGAGTGTGTAGGAAGTAGGTCATAGTGTATAGGATGTTGTAAGTCTTTGTGCTGCTGAAACTCCTTAATAAGGAGCCCTTTGTGGTTTTGGTATTTGGGACACATTTGACAAGGTAGCTTCCTTTGCAAGGCCTTGACTGGCCCTGTGTCCAGCACTAGTGCCAACATCATCCAGGAAGTCTGGAGAGGGGCAGAGAAGAAACCTCATTCTGCCCCAGAGAAAGAGTGCGCTCATCATTGTACTTTTTCTTCAGGTGGGGAAACACTTCAGTCTCTAGCAGAGTCTGAGTGGGATTACTTAGTGTAAATGTGCAGTGAGGCATTGTTTCATGTCAATGCATTGGGTTTTCACCATAGCGTTTCACAGGAGAGGCCTCTGGCATGGAGAGACACAGTGGGCCATCCAGTAGTCAGGCAGCACCTTGAGCCAATGAGATGGCTGGTGTTTCTCTTCTTTCCAGCCTCTGAGCATCTGTGTCTAACCCAAATCAGCTGAGAGAGTGTAACCACATGGAGTCTGCAAACAGAATAAATGAAAATGTCACCTGATGTTCACTTGTGGATATTTATTGGACCACTTCTCATTTGTTTTCTAGGCTCTAAGCTACTTCATCTGTGCCTGAGCAGTCTTGATGACAAGTCTGAGCATGCCATGTAGTCCCCTTCCGTCATTCTAGGGGACAGGGCACATTTGCAGCCCCTCTGCTTGGTGGGGCCCACCAAACAGCATGCGATGAAAGGGTAGACTAGCATCTCCCACAAAGTATGCCTGGGAGCTTTGGTCCCTGGAAGAAGGCGTTTCCTGGCTCAATGAGTTGAGGAAGAGTTCTCCCCCACAGCTTCCTCTTACAGCTTCACACTGAGCATTTACAGCCAAGGTTCAGCATGTCTGCAAGCAAACAGGTCTGGTTTTCAGACTCACACCTTTTTTTTCCCTTTTCCATACCAGTTGTCCAGAGAACACTAGTTTTGTAGACTATACTTGGAAAACAGTCTGCTTACGTGCAGTGAAGAATCCCTGTCTCTGCTGAGAAAGACTTGGGATGGTTTTCCCTTCATAGCAACTGAATTGCTTAATGTGCTCATTTTGATTCTGCCAGGTGCCTAGGACTGTACCAGGGCCATAGCCCTGTCCTGTTGAGGTGACTTGCAGCTACCAAATCAGGAAGTGTGTAAAAGACACTTGGCACTGGTGGCTTATGCCTGTAATCCTAGCTACTCAGGAGGCTGAGATCTGAGGATTGCAATTAGAAGCAAGCCCAGGCAGGAGAGTCCACAAGACTTACTTCAAATTAACTAGTAAAAAGCTGTGTAAGTGGAAGTGTGGCTCAAGTGGTAGAGTGCTAGGCCACAAGTTCAGACCCCAGTACTGGCATGCACATGCACACACATACACGCTTCTTTCCCCCAAAAGAAGGTAGTTGTGAGCTGAACAGTAAGACAAATTACACACTGGAATTTTTTTAAGACAGAGAAGTGATTCTTTCAGGGGATTATCCTTAGTGGTGTTTTTTTCCCCCCAATGTTTTAGTGCCAGTCCTGGGGCTTGAACTCAGGGCCTGGGCACTGTCCTTGAGCCACACCTCCATTTCTGACTTTAAAAAAATTTCAATATTATTTTATATGATCAGAGGCATATAAACATTGCACCTCTGTGTTCCTTCCCTAAGAATATCCTCTCTTCTCACTGTGTGTGAATGCCTAGGGCCTGTATAATTTATCATGCACACGTCTGACTTTTTGTTGCTTAATTGAAGATGAGTATCTCAGATTTGTCTGCCTGGGCTGGCTTTGAACTATGATTCTGTGAGTAGCCTCCTGAGTAGCTAGGATTACAGGTGTGAGCCACCGACGCTTGGCAAGGTATTTCTTAAAGGCTTCCTCAGTGGTTGTGTTGTACAGCTTGAGTTAAGAGCTACCACCTTAGAGGTCTGGGTCCTTGGTCCCTCTGACCTTGGGAAGTATGAATGAGTAAGGATGCCATAGAAGTCCGTAACTCCTGTCCCCTTAGCAGGCTTCTTGGCTAGTATAAAACTAGCTTCTGTGCGACTGCAATGTGAAGTGTGCAGGTGGAAACGTAATGAGAGTGCGTGTGCAGGGCTGGGTGACTGGGAGCAGGGCTCTGGCCTGGGAAGGAAAACAGTGGAAATACTCAGGTTGCTCCTAAAACACCAGTGCTGGAGTGCCCACCCCTGGGGACACAAACGGAACTGGTCAGGGCTGGAATCTGGATGTTCCTCCGTGTGTGTGTGTGTCTCTCTGTGTGTGTGTGTGTGTGCATGTGCATCAGTACTGAAGCTTGAACTCAGGACTTGGGTGCTGTCCCTAACTTCTTTGCTTATGGCTGTTAATTGGAGATAAGAGTCTCCTGGACTTTGCTGGGGGGCTGGCTTCAAAATGATCTGAAGGCAGCCTCCTGATTAGCTAAGATTACAGGCAATAGCCGCTGGCACCTGGCTCCCCAGTGACTGCAACCCAGGTTGAAAACAGTATGCCCCACTTAAATCGAGGAGCCGGTGTAATTAGTGAGAGAAGCAGTGAAGAGTGGGGAGCTGCAGGGTGGTGAAGGGTTTTAGGGCACACCACTGTTACTGGGTGTCCTTGGTTGGTGTGCTCTGGAGCTGAGCTGACAGCCGAGTGCTCATCAAAATAGTTCCTCTTCCCCCCCTTTCTCTCCCCCTCCTTCCCCTCTTCCTCCCCCCCCCCTTCTTCTGTCGGACTTTAACTCAGGACCTGGGTGCTGTCCCTTTGAGCCATAGCTCCACTTCCAGATTTTGAGTGGTTAATTGGTGATAAGAGTCTCACAGACTTTCCTGACCAGGCTGGGTTTAAACCGCAATCCTCGGATCTCAGCCCCCTGAGTAGCTAGGATTGCAGGTGTGAGCCACCGGCTCACATCTCCTCTCACTTTAAAAAATATTTAAATTTAGCCAGGTACTGTTCTGGAGAGAGCCTGCCTCCCCTCCCCCCCATCACCACCTGTGTGCATTTCAAGGGTGTTTATAGATGTGGTACTCCTAGTTCATCTCCACTCATTGTGGTTCACGGTGCTTGGAACACAATGGTCTTTCAGTCACTGTAACGGACAAGCCCTTGACTGCTCCAGGTTTTGGTTTGTGCTGTGTTCTGCCGTAATGGAATATGCTCACCCTGACATCCCATCCTTGGAGCTTGATTTTTACATTGCTTAAGAGGCGTTCTCTGGTACCCTATTTAAAATAGGGTACTAGTATGGTGGTACACACCTGTTGTCCCAGGAGGATCATGGTTTGAGTCTACCCTGGGTAAAGTTAGTGTGAGATCCTCTCTGAAAAACTAAAAGCAAAAGGGCAGAGGGCATAGACAAGTGTGAGGCCTTGAATTTTGTCCTTAGTACTACATTTTCCTCTGTCCCATTATATATACAATGATGAGTATTAATTATTATATATTAGAACATAGAGTTTGTGTGTGTTGACTTTATTAGTCTGTGAACCTCAGGAATGTAAGACCATACATTCTTTGATTATTCTTTCACCCCAGATTCTGACAAGTGCTTTACTCATAACTTACGTTTAACACTTTTTTTAAAAATTGATACATTAGCAAGAGGGGTTTGTATTAAAATAGTTTTACTGCATGTTAGGCATATGTTGCAATGACCAAATCTAACACTAGATGGTGCCAAGACATAAGTAAATAGCAGTTCTGGAAAAATCCCATCAGAATCAAAATGTAATTCAGTTGTATTTGTCCTTGCCGTGGGGACATGGATGAGGTCACGGATCAAGCAGTAGTCCCTTTTGGATGCAGATCCGTGTTAGCACAGTGCTAGTTTGAAGTGCTTAGTAACTTTTAAAAGGCACCCAGAGCAGAAGCAACTTTGAAAGCTTTTTGAGTGAATTCCATCTACCTCATCCCCACTGAATCTGCCCCTCCATCACAAGCTGGTGATTTTACTTCCACCTTGACCTTGACCTTGACCTTGACCTTGACCTTGACATTCAAAATGCCCAGTTAGCTCCAGAGTCATCCTATGCCCAGGTATTCTTTTTATTTTCATCTAACATTGAGAGCCACCCTTTGTGTTTAGGAAGTCATTTACGAACTTTGCTTTTACCCCTCCTCTAAACAAGCTTGCTTTCTTTAGTTTTCCTTCTCTTCCCCACCCCCCATGTCTCACAGGACCTAATGAGCTTCCTATCAGAGTCCTCCAAGGAATGGAGGGAATGCTTATGGGAG